TTTTTGGGAATATATGATCCCTTCTAGAACTGAAAGTGTACACTTTTTGGGGGCTTATGAACTCAGCAACTAAGTTTAGGGTGTTGGACCTTGGACATTCCTAGGTTAGGCTTTTATTGATGGTCCTGTAAGGCTGGGATTGGGTGCCCATGTAACCCTAACTTATTAGAATAGGGTTTTGGGGTTCCCTACCATAACTACAGTATAAAATACCCCAAACCCTATTCTAATTATTAAGGCCCTTATATTACTTTTTACCAGTGCGTTCAGAGCAGGGAGCCCAACCAAGCAGCACGAGCAGACGTGCTAGTGCCACATCAACGAGAAGTCAGAGGAAAACTGGAAAGACTGGGTAACTAGTCGTCTACGTAGACGTACGCGATCCCCGATGCATGATCTTCAATTTAACTCGGCTGTATTTCTCTGACATTCCATGAGCATTCAATTCTTTGGGCAGTGGAGCAGGCAAGAACAAGCCATGAAATTGCTGACTACTGGGTTCCTTCAGCCTTAATCCCTTGACGCCACCCTAAGCCCGTCCAGCCTAAGCCCCGAGTCAGCGCCTGAATCGTATGCCCCAAACGCCTACCAGGCCTACCTAAACCCTAAAACCTAAACCCTAAACACCACCATTCAGCCCACAACCTTCTTAAGCTCCGAAGCCTCAGACCTGAACAAGAGACCCGAAAGCGTGTTTATTTGCAACAAAACTCTTCCGCAAGGGGCCTGAATACTTAGCGACACTTTACCCTAGGGTTCCTCTCTTTATAGTATCATAAATATATAAATTAAGATATAGATATATAACTTTACATGTAAATGATACATGTAGATACAAGCAGAATCATATGTATATGTATACTGTTTTCGTATTTACATGTTCATGACTAGTTTCGTAGATAGCATAGACAGGAAGCTCCGAAACCCTGGTCCAGCTACTGCTACATTGAATCCCGAGCCTTGAACCACCTTGTACTAAACAAACCAAAAAAGAGTGGCCTGGCCAGGCCGTGAAGGTCTCGCCCACGACTGTCGCAGCTCCGCCGAAGAAGCAAAAGATCCAGGTGCCAGGGTTTAGGGCTTACCTGAAGCCCCCGAACTAGAGGTTCATCAGTATGATGTCCTTAGATCCCTGAAGTGCGACTTTGAAAAGGTTCTGAATCCTGAACCACCCTAAACTGAAAATCACGAACATGCAGCAGAAAGATCAGCCAACAAACGACACAAGACAACAAGCACACACGAGCCAACCAGCAAATAAGCAACACAACGATCAGACAAAACATGCATATCAAACACTGCACTAGTGGTCGTCGTCGTCGTCGTCGTCGTCGTAGTAGTAGTAGTAGTAGTTGTTGTAGTAGTAGTCGTAGTAGTAGT